CTTGATCAATCGATTGATCTGTCTCGTCCATACAGGCTGAACACGTTTGCCGCAATGATACTGAAGTGTTGTAAACGATGTGCGGGTCGTCCGTCGAAAGTGACGCATATCGATCTGATTCTGATCGCCAGTGGATGCGGCTCATTCCTGATGGCATCCGGTGCCTACGTATTCCATCGATATGAACGATGGACCTATTTTGACAGCTTGTATTACTGCTTTACAACTTTAACCACTATTGGTAAGTAATCGCTTGAGACCGTGTCAGTTCCTGAAATTAGATTTAAAATGGCCAAATACTTCACAGAAACTTCACAGATTCTCAATAAACAAGAAGCAAACCTAAGTAGGGAGCGACCGAGCATTCTTAGCATTTTTCAATTTTGCCATAATTTTACCGTCATCACGACCATTGGTAATCTTCTGATCAAGTTTACTGATCTATCTTGATCTCCATTGATCTATCTTGATCTGTGTTGATCCATTGATCCATCTATCTGGTTAGCAGCCACTCACAAACGACAGATTTAGCATTTGTGAATGAATTGAAGGTTTTGGCGATTTTGTGGCTCTGCAAAAGGACGGCGCACTGCAGAGTACACCCGAATACGTGGTGTTCGCATTGGTTTTCATACTGTTCGGTTTGACTGTGGTATCGGCGGCGATGAATCTGCTGGTGCTCAGGTTTTTGACGATGAATACCGAGGATGAGAAGCGAGACGAGCAGGAGGCCCAGTTGGCGGCTAGAGGTACGTAACGCACTCGCAAATGCTCTCCTGAATTAGCTTATCATTAGAAATTTTAGATGATTTTAGAATTTTCCACAGAATATTTCAGAAATTTTATCGTTAGAAGTCGTTAGAAATCGTTTGAAAATTCCGTTTATTAGCCAAATTGCTGAAGCTCAAGCAAACTGCTAAAAAATTCCAAAAATTCAATGTCACCGGTTCACTAATTTTTCCAAAAAGTTTTTCGATGATCAATCGATGTGATCAATCAATGTGATCAATCGATTACTTCAATCATTCAATCATTACTTTAGGCCTTGTACGAGTGACCCCGTTGGGTCGTACGTCGGCCAAAGGCACCTCGTCACGTCCGCTGCTGTATAGCCGGCCGTACAGTCCGGATAGTGATTCGTTTTTGGAGTTCGATGATCGAGGGCCACGCGCCGGAGCTGCTGGGGCTGGGGCTGGGGCTGGTGGGGGGACGCCTGGTGGAGGAGTGNAATTCCGCTGTTTCAGGTATTCGGTACGGAATCGACCGATCAGCTCCGTAGCCCATCTGGTGCATTCTGGCACCCAGTCACCCACGCAAGCGTTTACGACCAGACGTGACAATCAACTGGATCGTGGCGGCTTACCCTCAGATGCCTCGGACGATCAGCAATCCGCTGCCTGGCGAAATACAGCGTGCTAGTAGCTGGCGATTGGAATTCTAGCTGCAATTCATGCGACACCTGCCCGACACCTGCTGCCTAAGCCATCCATCACAATAACACCACGAAATGGTGTTATCTGAATCGACTCAATTCTTATTGATCACATATTGATCATATATTGATCACATATTGATCACAAGCCGTATTGATCACACACGAAATCTTTTATCTCTCGTCAAAATGCTCACTCATATTCTTCATATTATTGATTTGCTCTTGTTGTGTTCATCGATTGATTGATTTCTCATATTGATTGATCATGGTATGACTGATCACAAAGCCTAATCTAAATAATCATAATCAGTACATTCTATCGTCATTATGATGTCGAATCATCCATCTGTTGTCGAACGTCGGATCAGCAGTAGCCTTCCTCAGATCACACTGTGTCCTAACCACCAGATTTTCGTATTCGTATGAACGCCGCCGTGCCGTTGTATTCTTTCTGATGGCTGCTTCATTGATCCTCCGTCGTTGATCCGTGATTCTTAAAATATTTCTTCGTAATTTTCCGATTCCGATTCCGATTGATCATAAAAAAATCAATTGATTTCATAATGATCATATGAAATCAACGTGGTTGTCGTTGTTTTGTTGTCGTCGT